GCCACCAACATGGCATGAAAAGATGTCCCTATGTCATTTGCCATGAAAGAGATGCAAATCAAATCTATGGATGTCATTTCAGGTCCATTAGGATGGCTAAGATGAAATTGTAAATCAAAATAAAAACCATAACATTATAAACTGTGGTGAGGATATGGGGAAATCACAATCTGTATCCACTGTTGGTGGCTGGAAAAATGGCCAACCATTATGGAGAAACACTGTGGAAGTTCCTCAAAACCTAAACATACAACTACCATAAAAAACTCATGGCCATCGACTCAATGCTGCTCACAGTGACCACCTGTGGGTTTCTGAGGACTCTGTTTATGTGAATAGAAAACCTATTCTTTCTCCCGAGAAGCAGCTGGTGGTTTTGAACTACTGACCTTGTGGATCACAGCCCAATGGGTAACTCCTACAACACCAGAACCATCATATGATCCAACAATTCCACTTTAAGTAAACCCAAGAGACTTGAAATCAGACTCAAACAGCAACCTGAACATCAGTGTTTATTGCAGCCCTGCTCACAATAGCCAAAGCACCCATTATCAGATGAGTGGATAAATAAAATGTGCTGCATAGATACAACAAAGCACTATACAGGCAGTATGACAAATGGCATCTTAGTACATGATAAAGTATGGATAGAGTTTGAGTAATGTAAACCAATCACAAAAGGACAAATGCCATATGACCTTATTTATATAAAACAGCAAAAATGGCAAATGTATACATACTAGATTGTGCTGGTAACTAGAAGGTGGATGGAAGGGAAAAGTGGTAATGGAATGGGAAAATCACATTCACAAAGGGTAGAATTGCAGAGCTGATTATTTTAATTGATGTCAATAAATTATACACCAGAAAAAGTTGAATTGGCAAAAGCCGTATGATAGACATACTAATATTTACATAAAATACAAAATACCGCTGCTTACATACAACGAAATACCTCATGGGATATCAAGCTGTAGGGTACTGGCTTTATGGGACTTTCTAGTTAATTGACCTAATAATGTATTTGGTGCTTCTTTTCTAACTCATAGTTCACTGTGGAACGATAAGCTCAGGGTTTTAAAAGCTTATAAGCAGCCATCTGTGGCACAATCATTGGTCTCTATTGACTGGAGTAACAGAGGAAGAAGGAGAGATAGAAACTAGAGGAGGATGCAGAAAGATGTGGCTAACTGCCTCCAAGAACAAATGTCTCCTTCACCAAGAGACCAGACAAACTAGATAGTGCCTTGCTCCCATGTTGATCAAAGATGCTACAGAAGAATCCAGATGAAAAAGGTTTATAAAAAATCAAATTCTCATATATTCTGAAGCTAGGGAACATGAATGAACTCCTGAAAATATCACCCTCACATAACTTTCAAACCATAAACGAAAAATATTCCCTGAAGTCTTCCTAATATCAAACAACAGTTTAGTTTAGTAAAGAAGTCTTCCTTGAACATTATTCTCTTTTAAGGACCATCTATATAAGAAGTATCTCTATGGGATAAAAATGACAATAACACCCAGAGTGATGAGACAGAATACTCAGGTTGCCGTGCATTTATTCTTAAGGGGGAGGAATAACTCAGAAAGAGAGGAAGAGAATGGTAGCCCAGCTGGAAGAATATAATAAACATCTTTAAATTGTATGTTACGACAGTTTTTGTTTTTAAATGTGACACACAGAACATTAGGAAAAAGTCCAGAAAACTGTGCTCTAGTCAGAGAAATGTAAATACTTAATTGTAAAATCCTGTATACAGCATTTCCCTCACCTGGAAACGGAGGACATGAGTCTACATTATCTATAAATCAGTATCTCTGAATGGCAATTATTCCAAAATGTAAGCAGGACTATTGCATCATTAAAAAAAATGAGCAAAGAGTGGAGTCATAAAATGTTTCTACTTTGATAGCCATGATTCTCAGAAAAAAATCCCTGCTTATATGTTGGACTGCTAACTACAAGGTCAGCAGTTCAAAACCATTAACAGGCTACCATGAGAAGGACTCTGCTTTCTACTCCCATAAAGAGTTACAGTCTGGGAAACTCACAGAGGTAGTTCTACCCCATCCTACAGACACCAGGAGACATCAATTCGCTGGCAGTGAATTGGGTTTATTTTTTTACTCTCAGGAAAGTCCATGAACTACAAACTCTTTTAAAGAAACACTTCTATATTCAACTAAACATAATTCTAATCGCTCCATCAATTTATTCTACGTTAATGATATTCTGCCTATATTTGTGATATTTGTGTTTATTCCAGATAATGTAAGATGGAATGGGTTATAAATATCACAAATATTATCCACATCTGTTAGATACTTTTTTTAACTAAATAAATCTTTATACCTCACATTGAATGAAAAATTCTTTATAGACATTTATTATGATTACCAGCCTACATTCGATCAATCTCCCTTTCTCAAGAGTGTTTTAAAATTGGTAGCATGGGCTCAATGACATTATAAACCGAAGGCTCTTATGCTCCAGGGAGATGATCGATGAGATTCTCCACCACAAACGAACAAGGACGGCTCTAACGTGAACCAAAGGCAGATAAGAAAACATTGATTCAGGAACGGATTTGGGGCTCACACTTCATCTTGGCTCCAACCTAAGAACACTTAGTTTTTATGACATGGCTCTGCTGGATATGTACCCTCATGAAGGAGACACAGAGGATGTGGGTGCTGTAGCACAGTGTGGTGAAAAAATTAGATGGTGCCCAGGGATCAGAGAGAATCATGGGCGGGGTCATAAATGCTTGTTTGCAAACAAGCAGCCATCTAAGTGAGATACCAACCAAGCTTACATGGAAGAAGCACTTCAACAGCCATAATTCAAGGATCATACGTGACAATCCAAATCCAAAGAAGGGAAGAGTAGCTTAAATTGTGGGATTCTGCTGTGCAGAAGGCTACGGATGATGGTGGAAGCCCAAATACATTTGTAGGAGCTACCAGCAAATAAGCCCCCGGTGATTTCCCTCTAACCCTAACTGAGGGATATAAATAACCTGGTTACCAGACAGAAAATATTGGAAAGACGACTATAATAAATTAGAATGACAAATCTGACTTGAATGGTTAAAACCGTGTCACATGATCTCTCTTTTTATACACGTTGTGCTTATCTGGTTTTAAATATTTTCTGGGTTTTGTTTTGTTTCATACCAAGGTTTGTCTCGGTTGTATTTTGTCACTTTTGGTAGCCTTCTTGACTCCCTGCTATATGGTTCTCTATGGTTTTTGGTATCTGAAATCCAGGATATCTGAGTCTACATAGACAACTGGAATGAGGGTTCCTGGAGGGCACAGTGCGGGGAATGGGGGTGGGGGAGGGGCCAAGGGGGAGCTGATATCAAGGAGTTCAAGAAGGAAGAAACTGTTTTGAAACTGATTATGGTCGTGATTGTACAACCCTACTTGATATGCTTGAACTATGGTATAGTATGATGTGTGGATTAGCTCCTAATAAAATGGTTTGGGAAAAACAAACATGGATTTCTGTGTTACTAAATTGATATGCTTAAGCAAGAATGTTGCAAGGGCTGTAAAAAAACAAAACAAAACAAGCTTGTATAATGTGTCTTGGCTCAATTATCTTGGACTATCTTTGACTGACATGAATTCCTTGTGAATACCTTTTGTTGGGTAGTCTCCTTAACCTTACCTTGTATTGACACACACCAGAACAGGGGGTTCACAAACTAAAGCCTGTGGGCCAAATTTGGTGGCAACTGTCTATTTTATAATTACTGCTTTACTGGAATGCAGTCAAACTTAAATTTATATATCATCTGTGAATAAGTTCACTCTACCATGGCAGAGTTGACTAACTTCCAAACCTTAAAATATTTACTCTAGCACCCTGTACAGAAAATGTTTGCCAGCCAAGGTCTAAAGAAAAAGAACCGCTTGCCATTAAATTCTGATTTTCCTCCTCTAGTAAGTAAAGGAAACACAAGCCCTAAGTAACCATGGCAAAGATATGAACAGATTCACACTGTCAATAACTGCTGCTTTTAGTCCTTTGTTTCAATTTTCATCTTAAAAAACAAAACAAATAAACAAAACACTGCAGCTCCCACTAGTGCCCTTTGCTACAGCCTCCAGGAGTGCAGAGCCTTCTCCAAAGGTATCTGCCAACGTGCTGCCACAGAACTGGAGACCCCAATTCCTTCCTTCCCAAAGGCCACCTACAGTAGCCCTAAACGTAATGCTATATTCCAATCTCTAGTCAGGGTTCAGAAAGGGAAAGAGCACAAGAAACCATTGACACTTCCGGTTTTATAATACACCTTTAAAGAAAGAAAATCAATGGCCAACATCACACATACATCGATAAACATATGCATGCATATTCATGTATTCAAAATGTAATAAATTACTAGGAATTTCAGATATACAAAAGAAATCGTTTTTAAATCTGAAAGTATTAAAAAGAGATAAATCCTCTGAGGATAGAGAGGGCAGGTGCATATTTATTTTTGTAACTTTTAGGCAGTATATATATAGACTTTAAACATCAAGAATGAATTCGTTTTTGTCAATGAAATTACCAGCTGAAAATCATTAACTGCCCATCCTGTGATTTCTCTCTGGTTATGGCAGGCAGAAAATTAGCAGATACCTGCCCCTGACCCCACCCCACTCCACCCATCAAGAAGATTTGGCAAGTATTAGCATAAGATAAATTAAATAAGAAGTGCTTAAGTCTAAGTCATTTCCTGGCCCTTTCTCTGAGCGCTTATATAAAGTGACAGATTATTTAGCCTGGCAGACTTTTAGAAATAAAAGAGAAATAGAAGAAGAGGTTTATTTCACCTTCACATGGTGTCTTTCTCATGCAGAGTTCAGATTTCCACATTTGTATCCCTTTTAAGGATTTGATATGCAGGAAAAGAAGAAAGGACGATGGTAAACATTTCGTTTTAGAGACATCTGCAGACTACCACATTCCAGACTGACCAGTGGCCCAGGCTTACCTTTTACTGACGTGTTCGGGGGAGGGCCTTCCATCCTCAGATTCCACGGAGGGTCCCCCTGGTTAGCAAAGTCCCGCATTTTCAGATAGCTAATTGTCAGTCGAATGATGGACGCCTTGTCTAGCTGGCTGGTGATGGCCGCAGGAAGTGGCAACAGCTTGGCCAATTCATAGAACTCAAAGTTTTCTTTGCCCCGCCGGGAACGAGCCGCGTCTCTGGATTTCTCCTTTCTCAACGCTTGTAAACTGAAAGCGAAGAGTGGAGAATGTTATTGAGAGGATGCGATTCTGTCACCAGACAAAAATGATTCTCTTTTCATTGCCTTTAGTAACAGCAAAGACCTATCACAGTCCTCTGGGACATTGCTGAGCCATAAGAAAGAACCGTGCACAAGACCCGTGAGCTTCACAAATTCTCATTCTGGTCCTCCCTCCCTTAAACTCAAGTTCAGTAAGTGAAAATTAGTCTTTTTTCTTTTTAATTATCCATGCACCTAGGTACCTTCATTAAATCTGAAACATGATATTTATAGGTGATACATGGTGCTGTCTGTGAAAACCAATTTAAAAGATCAGGCTTGTATTCACACCTATATTCTCAAGCCAATGATCTTGTTCATTTAACTTCTCTCATGGTGGGTTCTGAAAACATCCAAAAGTCACATTTTAAAAAATGAATTTCAATTTCCCTTTTGGGGGACAAAGGTGAAACAGATACACAATTCACTTTGACAGAATCAACATGTATAATGTTGACGTGCTTCTAGCCTTCAGCAAAGACGCTGACCTTTGGTCATATAAAGAAAATATCATATCGAAAGTGAAGATTTCAATGTAACTTTATAGCAGTGCTGATAATTGATTGATAAGCAGGTACTTTAAGGCCTCACAAATGGACCTACATCTGTAAACGGAGAGATTCTGAAAGATGCCAGAGAATAGAATGCATTTCTCAGAAAAATCAAACCTTAAATTAATATAGCTTGACTATTGAATGCTAATACCCTGCACAGGCTATGAACATTTACAAATATTATGGACATATTACGTCACAGAAGAGAAACAGGGGGATCGAGCATTTTCCTTTAACTCTCTATGGGCACTTCTGTTTGAAGCTCGCTCACACTGCCAGGGCAGAACAAGGCCCAGCTTCAGTCGTGTGTCAGTCTCTGACACACAGGCAGAAGGGCTCTGTTTTACGTCGGATGATAAATTCAGTATCCGGCCTTGGTGGTAAGCGACTGAGTAGTAGTTTAGTAGTATACTATAAATACTTATAATCATACATATAGTAAGTGATATGTGCCTATTTTATTCCATGAACTCTGCAGGCATTTTCAATCTGCATACCTAACATTCTTGCCAGTATTCTAAAATAACGATAAAGAAATGTGGAAGGAAGCAGGGACAGGGTAGATCAAAATTAGTCTGCCTGGCTGTCTCAATTCTGTATTACTTGAATATGTACTATAATATTGCATATTACATTATTGCACATTTAACATTTTTCAAAGTAAAGTAGAAACATTGCATTCACAGAAGGCACCCAAAATATTTAACTGAACAGCTATGTAATTGACGTTTTAACACTCTGGTCAGTGACTCACTAGGCTAACAGCAAAACCAATTTCATTTTTATTCTATTAAAAATATTCTGTATTAGCTAAGTAATATGTTTCTCAACACCAGAGAAGTGAAGATGATCATTTTCAGAGTCACAGCAGTCTCAGGTGACAAATCCTTGTCCCTGGATGTATCTCAGGTGATAACCTCGGGCGAAAACATCGCTAATTTACAAGGAAGATGTATTATGCTACTTATTCACCAGTCTGTTGGCCAGCCGCCACTCAATTCTATAAGTGCTCAGTCTTGGATTGTTGAAAGCTTTTTAAATAAAGTGAGAGATGTCTTAAAATTGGACCAAGTGTAAATATGACCGAGATCCGCGGGCACATCTTAGGATACAAGAACAACCCACGTCCCTCCCTTGATGTGATAAAAACAATCTATCTAACACCGTTTCCATTAGCTATGCCAAAAGGGCTCTGTATTTTGACATGTTTTCCCTAGTACTCGTATATAAAGAAAGGTGCAGTGGTTCAAGTTCAATGCTTTGCTCTCTCTGTGTTCTTGTAATTGACTACTACTCCAGAAGGTAGATTGAAAAGACTGGTTGGTTGGTTTGGGTACAGCAAGTGACTGTGATGGAGCTGTAGATCAGGGGCCACACACTCAAGGCCATCAGGGTTCAAGCAGCGGATATCAAAGAGAGAAGAGGCCAAGTGGAGACTGTGGGCATTAGGGGACACAACCTAAGCAAAGGGACAGTGCTTTTAGTTTGACTGATGCTGTGGGGAAGGCACAAATGTTACTGAGCTTTTACTGTGTCTAGAGGGAAAAACTGAATAGACAATATTTCCCGTTTTAATATAACTGTATTTTAAAAGGTTTTAATTGAGCAAGTAACATAAAACATGTTTTCTGGGCAAAAAGGATCAAGGACTCATTTGACATCTAGGTAATAATTTATGAAGCCAATTTTACATGGATACTACATGCAGCATTCATTTATTTATTTTTTTGTTTTGTTTTGTTTTGTTTTAAAACATTTTATTAGGGCTCATACAATTGTTATCGTAATCCATGCACACATCAATTGTGTAAAGCGCATTTGTACATCATTCTCAAAACATTTTCTCTCCACTTAAACCCCTGACATTAGGTCCTCATTTTTCCCCTCCCTCCCCGCTCCCCCCTCCCGCATGAGCCCTTGATAGTTTATAAATGGGT